AAACCCGAATATTTGTAGTTCTAGATATAGTGTTAGTTTTAGTTTTACACGTGCACTGTCTCTAGAACTAATATTAGACCTAAAACTAGAAACATTTGGGTTTAGCCGCCCGTCACTCAAGGCGGCTAAACCCAAATGATTCTAGTTCTAAGTATAGTGTTGGTTCTAGCAACGGTGCTAGTGTAAAACTAGAACTAATACAAATCCGAATGTTTCTAGTTCTAATGTTAGTTCTAGTTTTAATTGTTATTCAGCATTAGATTGTGGTATATTTTTATTGAGCGAAAAGTAGAATTAACACTAGACCTAGAACCAAAAACATTTAGGTTTAGCCGTGCGTCTCTTAAGACAGAAACTCAGAGTTATCATAAGGGTGTCACCTTTTCCAAACAAAACTTTTCCTCTGCAAAACTACCAAATGCCTTTTGCCAATGGTAGAATCCAGGTTCATCGTAGGTTTCATAAAGTAAATAAAATCTTAAATACGATGAAAATGTTTGTTTTTATTTATATGTCGGTGCTACAAATATAAGAACGCTGATCCACAAAAATATTTCGAAATCTGTGAATATTACGCATTCCTCATAAACACTTGACGTCGTGCCTGAAGAAAGAAACTGTTGGTTTCCGAAACAATTTGTAGCACCGATATATAAATAAAAACAAACATTTTCATCGTATTTAAAATTTTATTTACTTTCCCAAATGCCTGTATGTACTGTTAAGCTATGTTGCATTTTATATGGGACAATGCAAGTGCTCAGTAGTTTCGTAACTATGGTTACTGCATTTATTTATATTCACTTATAGTGAGTAACATGCATGAATTTAGTGGCGTCAATAAAAACTGGCGCGCCAGTAAAATTAAATTGCATGTGTAAACATCAACTAGCATGCATGTTGAAATCATGCATGCATGGATCAGAAAAGTCTGCACCCTTCTGAAATCACTGGCGCCAGTGATGAGTCTAAAAACATGTAACCATGACAACATAGATGAGTATCCACAAAAACACAACACGATCGATATTATGACACGATCTATTTTACATGCTTCGTAAAGTTCACACGATATATTGCACTTTGTGCAATACACTTTAAAAATGAAACTGGCGTGTCACTTATTTTTGTTTTTCCACATGTAGTGTAAAGCTTTACTGGCGTGCAAATAGAACTGGAGCCACTAAATGCATGTCTAACTCACCTTTATGCTAAGTTTCCGCATGCACGGATTACTGGCGCCAGTACGAAGTCAGTTTAGTGGCGCCAGAAGTTGTTTCCACATAAATGTTATAATTGTGTACTGTCACAGTAATAAAAATGGCG